GGGGGGGGGGGAGCTTGGTGAATGATCTCTTTGAGGCAGGTTCTGAGCTGTTTTAGGTTTAAAGCCGCCAAATGTATGGATTGTACCCACTACAGAGCAGCAGCGACAGACTGACCTTTAAAGGTGACCCCTTTGACATTTTGTAGAGAAGCTACGCAGCTTGTTAGTGATTGCCTGGCTTCAGGGGTTTATGGAACTCAGTGGGTGGGTGTCCTGCTTGTTTCCTCTGGCCTTTTGTAGACTCTGAATCTGCCCTCTGGGTAAGTGGATAGGCAGCCAGGGAAGGTCCTGATGACCACAGGAATTTCCTAGGATTGACCTTGAGCACAGCGAAAAGAGGAGCCACTCCCAAGGGCATCCTGGTACTGAGTGCCGCCATCTGGGCTGTATGATCCTTTCGGAGTGCAGTTTTTAATATGCTACAGTAGAGAACTAAGCTTAGGGCACCACAGCCCAGAACAGATAGAATATGCATAACTCTATCTGCAGTGCAAAGAGGACTGGCTGTCAGGAAGGCTGTATCTGATGCTGTCCAATCCCCAAAGCTCAGGAGACCCCTGTTTGGGAAAGCTTGCTGACTTGGACTGCACAGGGGTGAGACAGGGGGCCTGGATAGTGCAATGGAAGGCTTACATGGAAGGCTTACCTCTGAAGAGTGGGTGCCACTCCATGGTGATACTTGCCCATTTCCTCCTAGTCCTGGCTCTGAATGGCTGAGCCTCACCTTGTCCCTGATGGAGACTTTCCCCCTTAACTGCTCTGAGAAAGGGTAGAACCCAAAGGTTTCATTACCAGTTGTAAGTATGCAAATGGAAGGAAATTTTAAATATTTTTTTTCTCAGCAATGATTACTATGGACAACTTTCCCTCTTGTTTTAGCTTTAGTTCTGTAACTGTGATAAAACACTCTGACCAAAAGCAGCTTAGGATAGGAAAGGGTTTATTCAGCTTACACATCCAGGTCACAGGCCATCACTGAGGCAAGTCAAGGCAGGAACTCAAGCAAGAACTCAAAGGCAGGCCTGCTCCCTCTTCCCCACAGCATTACATCAGGTCAAGGAACTCATTTTGCCGCCAAAGAACTGTGTCAGGACCATGGAGGATGCTGCTTGCTGGCTTGCAGACTTATTTATGCTTAGCATGCTTTTTATACAGTTCTAGATCATCTGCCTCCCACAGTAGACTGGACCCCCCATTAGTTATCAATCAAGATACTCCCTCACAGATATGCCCACAGGCTGATATGATCTAGGCAACTCCTCAGCTGAGGCTTTCCTTTCAAGTGACTCAAGACTGTGTCAAGTTGACAGTTAAAGCTAACCAGAGCACCTTCTGAATAAAAAGTCACTCGTATGCCTCTCTCATAATCTCAAAAAACAAAAAGGTTTTATTCAATTCTGTTCCCATACTTACAAAAGATATCTGATTCAACCCTCTCATACACAAAGCAATTGGTGCATGAAAAAAATAATTAAATCATTGCTTGTCTCCAATTTATCAATCTACCAATGGATCTTGAGAGCTCCTCATGGGAGAAGCAATATGGCCATGACTGACCTTGATCTGAGAAATATACGATGGTTATGAACACAGTCACTGGAAACATGCAATCTAAAGGTGCATTTAATTGTGCCCTGGGAAGAATTTCAACTTAGGCAGATAACTTGTAGAACAAGTGCATCACCTCTCAGTCACAGTTGGCAAAGTGTTGGGCTGATTATAACTAACCTTCAACAACTGAGCAAACTTTCAGGGTAGGAAGAATTAAAAAAAAAAAACATGCTTGAGGAAAGTTCAGTTTACCTATAATAGCATAGGTTATTATAGCTTGTTTTATATTTCTGCATATGAGTAGAATTCAAAACTGAGACATTAAGTCAATTTACAGACATGGGTTTTGTTGGTGTTTAACTATTAACATTTGCTTTCTGAGGGTCAAGAAAGTAGTTCCTACATGGTATCATAGGATATTAAAAGTAGTATTAGCAGCAAAGCTGTGGGTACTCTTAGGCTTTTGTGGCCTGGCTATTGTTAGCACCATGAAAAGAGTTTTGCTCGTATTTAATTTCTATTTTAAATCTACCTTTACTTGCAATCATCTTTGGCAGATATAGAGATGTTTATTTAATAAAACATTAATGGGTCAGAATGTAGACTGGCAGCAGAGTACTTTCCTACCTGGGTTTTATCCCACGTTGACAAACAACACCAACTATGAGAGCAGTAATTTATGAGTTATGACTTTGTATTTTAAACATTGACTTACCTTATTGCAATTCTTAATGCTCTTTTACAGTAAACTGGAAATGCACTGCTTTCCTTTTATATGAAAAGTATACACACAAGTTAGCATTTCTTCCATGAGTTAATGCTAAAATAATATTCTATTACTTTTACTACAAAATCTCTAGGGTACCATGGTATATGTCATGAGACAGGGTTTCATGACAGAACAGGTTTCAGGGTACAGAGAAACAGCAGGAACCTTCTTGCAAAGAAAATACTATGAAATTTACACATAGTAGCTACATAAGTAAATAAGAAGCATTTATTTTCTAAAACAGTGGAGTCTTGTGCTCCATGGGCTCTCATGGTACCATTTTCTTGTTAAGAAAGAAAGCAAATAAAAAAACAAATAGGTCTCTCTCTCTCTCTCTCTCTCTCTCTCTCTCTCTCTCTCTGTGTGTGTGTGTGTGTGAGAGAGAGAGAGAGAGAGAGAGAGAGAGAGAGAGAGAGAGAGAGAGAGAGAGAGAGAGAGAGAGAGAGAGAGAGAGAGAGAGAGAGAGAGAGAGAGACAGACAGACAGACAGACAGACAGACAGACAGAAAGACAGACGGAGGCTCTCAGTGCCATTATATTGTGATCACTGGTCCTTTTCATCTTGGTTGGCTCACCTAGTAAGAAAACCAGTCAATGTACATTAAATAAATGAGTAAAGTCTTGATTTGCCTTTTAAGAAAGAATGCATTATTGTTCAGATTTTTCTGTCAATATAAAATGGGAGGTGTTCACTTCTTTCCATTCTTGAAACATCTTACTCTATTAAAATTTATTTTTCTATTCATGAGAACATATATTGATTGATTACAAAGTGTTTTGGATAGGAGGTTTTGTGAGATTCTTTTAATTATGCACATACTCACCTATACATTTATTAAGCATATATGAATCTAGTCCACATTCTTTACTGCGATGTATGTAGTTCTTTCCAAATCTTTGTCTATTCCGTTAAAGAAACAAGTCTGGTGTGCTAAAGAGGAGGCTCGATTTTTATCTCTTGCCTTGTCTGTTAACAGCATCACAAAGTCAAAGTTACTCATGAATGATGAGTGCTGGTATGTATAGGTTTATCATGGTTTGAGTGAGAATGGCCCCCATAGGCTCATACATTTGAATGCTTGTTCCCCAGTTGATGGAACTGTTTGGAAGAATTAAGAGGTGTGTGGCTTTGTTGAAAAAGATGTGTCATTAAGGGCAGACTTGGAGGTTTTAGAGGCCCACACCATTCCAATTGTCTCTTTCTCTCTGCCTCATGGATTTTGTTTCAACATGTAAGTTCTCAGCTACTGCTCCAGCAGCACATTTCCCTGTCTTTTGCCATGCTCCCCACCACGACGGCCATGGACTCTGAAACTGTAAGCAAGCCCCCAATTAAATACTTTCTTCTAAGCCAGGCGGTGGTGGCACAAGCCTTTAATCTCAGTACTTGGGAAGCAGAGGCAGAGGCAGGTGGATCTCTGACTTCAAGACCAGCCTGTCCTACACAGTGAGTTCCAGGATATCCAGTACTGTTTCACAGAGAAACCCTGTCTTGAAAAAACAAAATAAACAAACAAGCAAATAAATAAATAAAATTCTTTCTTCTATGAGTTGCCTTGGTCATAGTCATAGTGTCCCTTCACAGCAATAGAAAAGTAACTTAGACAAGGTTTTATAAGCCATTCTAAGTGAGGATCATACTCCAGAGGACAAACCTGAGCTCCTGACAGTTTAAGACACCAGGAAGACCTGTCTATAAGTGGGATGACAATCAGAATAGGAACATCTTACCTGCATATTTAGAGCCATGTGAAGTTGAACCAGGTGATACACCTCAGAACAAAAAGAACCATAGAGATGAGACATTAGGCTGCCGGTTGCCTATCTTCTGGAAAGAGAGATTTTTTTCCAGTGGGGTGAGTGACTTGAAGAACATTTCCATCGAGATTCTGTTCAGACCGTGTTTGCGTGCTGCACCTCCCCTTCGCAAAGCAAGCATCACCCTTTACAAAACAAACAAATGAACAAAAACAAGAACAAGAGCCAGGCTGCTGTCTACGCATTATTTTCATAAGTCACAGTCTTTTCCAACTGACCAAGAGCTAGATTCTTACTCTACCAAGGCTCCAAACTTCCCTAGTGTTTAAAAAGGAAGGAATACTTGGAGACTTTTTGCCATGGGTCATATATGGAGTAGGGAGTAGAGTGTGAACTCAAGGAATGTCCTTGGAAACTCTTTTGTAGAAGCATGAATGCCCCTGGGAAGGAGGGCTGGGGAAGCAGCCTGCCTTGGGCCAACAGAAACAGGCTCAAATGTGGGCCATACTCACTGTCGTGCCCCCTCCCCTTCCTGTGCCTGAGCTGTAGCTGGGACAAGTTACATATTTTCCTAGGTGAGAAGACCAGTTACTTCTCTAGGAGGACCTCTCTTTGAGAGGACCCACAGGCTCTGCCAGGCAGGGCTTCCCTGTTGACACCTGCTCTCCAGGCAC